GATGATGGGCTCGAGTATAGCAGGGATTGTGGGGCTGGTGCGGGATCGGGCAGTGTTTCGTTCTGCTGTGCATGGGGTCGCTATGAGTCGGAAATGACTCGACGGCACTTAACAACAACAACAACAAGCAGATTTAACATCCAGCTTTTCTGAGACCTTGTTGATAAGTCCACTACTCTATACTGCTGCCTGATGAAAGCGGCTGAGTGATTTAGGCAAGTCAATCTCTTTTTGCTTCTGTTTCTTCATCTGTAAATGAAGAAAACAAAACCCATCTTTTGGGATTATTGTGAGAATTACATAAGTAAATATGTATCTAGGTCTTAGACAGTTGTTTGGCACATCCTGAATGCCCAGTAAATATTTGTTGATGATAATTTTGAACAAATAATCCCTGACTTACAATGTATTTTTTGCACATTCTTATTGTTAGTGATACGTACTATATACAGTGTTGCTGTGCATAATTTGCTGATGTTATTCTCAGATGTTCAATTTTATGAGTTACTGTTCAAAATGCTGCTGTATGGTGCTATATACCAATGAAGTTGGTATTGGGAGTCCTAAAAGATACAGACTTTGGCAGTGTTCAACTCTGACAACATAGGACAGTTGAATTGTGCATGTGCCCGATAGCTAGTATGACTGTGACTTCATTGTTATGACACTGATACAGACTTCATTGATACTGATAATAAAAGCCAATAATAATGAAAACTAAAAAAAATTGAGGTATTCGATTTACGTCAGATCAAGTTATAGCCAAGTCATCAGAACAGAAACACATCGTAAGTTGAGACCTACTTGTAATGCCACTCTGTTCCTTTTGCCCTGTTTTATCTTCAGGTTATTAAACCAGAATCTTGTGTTCCATGTGGAAAGCGGATAAAATTTGGCAAGCTGTCTTTGAAGTGTCGAGACTGTCGTGTGGTCTCTCATCCAGAATGTCGGGACCGCTGTCCCCTTCCCTGCATTCCTACTCTGATAGGAACACCTGTCAAGATCGGAGAGGTAATGCTCATCAGAGTCATTCTTGTTCTATGGCTTCTTTAGGATTTTAAAGGCTTAATGTTAGTTTTTGGTCTGAAATTAATGACGTCAAGTATAAATCCCTTCTACAACTAATGACTAAAAATTGTAAAATGTTAACTCGTTATAGAGTTCTATCTGGGTTTCTCTGTTTAATACCTTTTAGAACCAAACTCCTCTCCCTTCTCTTCATTTTTCCTTCTCTCTTTTCCCCTGTTTTCCCCATCCTGTCTGCTAAAGGGACAGGGAGGCTACAACTTCTGACCTCCCTTAACCCCACAAGAGGAAGACAGAATCACCATCAGCAGCCCAGGGTCTATTCCTGCAAGGCCAGACATGCTGCCTTCCTCCAGCTCTTTCACCAATCCTGACACCAACTGTTCCTCCTGCAGCACCCACCACCTCTCTTCTGGGTTCGATAATTTGCTGCAGTGACCACACAGAACTCACAGATTATGGGGTTTATTAGAGAAGCACCAGGCTACAATGCAAGTTCAGGAACAATGCTCAGTCTCTCTCAGCCCGCTGTCTCTCAGCCAACACCCTCTCTCCTAGCAGTATGTGTCTCTCTCTCAGCAGTGCATGTCTCTTAGTGTCTCTTTCTCAGCAACGTGTTTCTCTCAGCAGCACATCTTTCTCAGCCAGCAATCAGAGAGACTCCTGCCTCTAGGAGGGCTCCTTTTGAGTCTGGCAGAGTAGCCAAACTAACCAATCATAACATCAGCACCTGAGAGAGAGCAAACTTCCCAGAACATTGCTTTGTTCCGCTTTCAACAGAAATACCCCAGGTGGGTAACTTTAACAATCAGGACCTCCTCAGTTGCTCATAGCATATTCTACCTTGGAGTTTACAAAGACTTATGCCTAGAAAAGTCATACCAGGTTATTTACTATACCACACTGTCCTATTTTGGAAAATTTCAAACATATGCAGAAATAGAGTGAGTAGTTCAATTAACTCCTGGTTCCCATCACCCAGCTTCAATAATTACTAACTCTTGTCCAATCTTGATACCCCCATCTCCACTCCCAACCCTGTCCAGTAGATTATTTTGAAGCAAATCTCCGTTATCATTTAATTTCATCTGTGAATATTTTTTCTTGTATATTAGAGACATTCCATACTAAGCTATTAAATTAAGATTAGGTTTGTTATTCCTGAAAATCATTAAAATCCATTAAGAAATTATTATTTATTTTACAACCAACATTAGCAGGAATCAAAACAAATGACTGCTGATACCAACTCCTCAGCAAAAAGTTACTTTTCTCTGATTTTATCCATTTATATATTTCATAACTTTAAAAATTTATTTTAAAACACACACACACACACACATACAGACACCACACATATCTCCAAAAATCAAACTTACTGCCATTGAGTCGATCCTAATAATGGTCCCCATCGGGTTTCCAAGGCTGGAAATCTTTGTGGAAGCATACTACTTCATCTTTCTTCCATGGAGTAGCTAGTGGGTTTGAACTACTGGCCTTTTGGTTAACAGCCAAATACGTTAACCACTATACCACCAGAGCTCTATTTCTGTGTGTGTGTATGTCAGTATGTGTGTGTTTTAAAATAAATTCTCTGTATTCTAATATAGAACCATGGAGTTCTCCTCCATAGGTAGATTTATTTCATGATCAACTGTAAGATGTATTAACTAATTTTTCTTATAAGAATAATTAAAATGAAAATGTTTTCATTTTTCAGAGTAATAAATTAGTTTATATTAAAGGCCTTACCTGTACTCTCATTATTGCTTACTCTCTAATGCCCTTTCTTGAGAAGAAAGGGAGATAGAGTTACAGCTGGGGGTCTTATTACTTGTTCATAAAAAAGTGTGGTATATGTCACCATAAATCAGTCTTGGTGTAGAAATAGGAAAAAAAAAATGGAAAGTCTCTGTTCTAATACATACTTTGGCAATAGGGATTTAAAGGTGTACATGATATCCCAGGCTGAGTACCCTATTTTTATGGAAATAATACATGTGTTACATAATTTTTAACATATTGTTCAACCTCCTTACGTATTAGTTTTGTGTGTGTGCTATGTGTGTTATAAGCATGCACACATTATTTACATGGGCACATTATATGTGGAAAAATATGGTATTAGGAGATTGGTTTCTTTACGTGTGGTCTTCATCTATTCATCTAAGTGGTTTAAATAATAATTTCAAACTCTTCCTCTTTTAGGGAATGCTGGCAGATTTTGTGTCCCAGACTTCTCCAATGATCCCCTCCATTGTTGTCCACTGCATAAATGAGATTGAGCAGAGAGGACTCACTGAGGTAAGAATCAGCCCCAGGAGAGTGTGAATTTATTATTTGTGTTAGTAATTAGGAGGTCCTTAAATAAAAGTATCATCTTAATAATAGACAGGCCTATATAGGATCTCAGGCTGTGACCGGACAGTGAAAGAGCTGAAAGAGAAGTTCCTCCGAGTGAAAACTGTACCTCTCCTCAGCAAAGTAGATGATATCCATGCAATCTGTAGCCTCTTGAAAGATTTCCTTCGAAACCTCAAAGAACCCCTTCTGACCTTTCGGCTAAACAAGACCTTTATGGAAGCAGCAGGTAAAGGCAGATCTTAATACTTGAATGTAAATTCCATGAATGCTGGAATTTTTCACTTTTCTGTACCGCTTTATACCTGTGCCTAGAACAATGCCTGAAACATAGTAGATGCTCAAATAGTTTAATGAATGAATAACTATATATAGTATTCCCTATGCTTGTCCTCTTCCTGTCTGAACTGTATTATCTAAGCTTCCTATCTAAACTGTATTTCTGATATTAAGTATTAAACAGAATTTTTTTTTTAAATTGTGATTTGGGTGAAAGTTTACAGAGCAAATTCACTTTCCATACATCAGTTCATATATGCTTTGTCTCATGACATTGACTATAATTTACCACAGTGCAACATCTCCCCTCCCAGTTTCTCCCTATAGTTACCTCTTCCCTGTGTCCTTCTATTCTCCCATG